CAAACCGAAAGCACAAAACCCAACACCTTGCCAACAGCTCACTGATGAACATTGATGAACTCAATTGAGCAGCAGTACTGCTAGGGACTAAGGGAACCAGCTGGGTGACAGGATGATGCCAGTGTCACCTGAGAATAATTGAAGCTTTTGTGTGATGTTACTGAATACTGTTGGTGTTACTGTACCATTTGGGAGCGACTTGTGACGCAACCTCCCTACCAGAAGTTACTGGTAGAAATACAATGTGCCAAGAAAGCTACATTTTGTTTAGTATACCTTATTTCTGTTAAGGTAGCCAGAATCGACTACTTTATAGGGAAAATAATCCCCTCCATCACCCTATATAGCTGTGTTCTTATCATTAACAGTCTGCACGTGGGTTGTACTGGAAGTGCTTTGCCATTTGTACCTGAGCTAACAGTTCTGGAAATGGAGTTATGCCCACTTTGTTTCTAAGGCCTGATCTAAACAACTCTGGATTTGGTAAAGTTATTCAACCCATAGGTGGTTTACTGTTCAATTATCTTTGCTATTCTACTTGCATGGATGTAGCTAGTCAACTAGTGATGCTGTTGTAGCTGTCATGGTACATGGACACAGGCAAGGCAAAGTTTGTAGATTGAGAAAGTGTATCTTACAAGACTTTTCAGGCACTCAAGCCCTTCATTAAACATTAATGAATGTCCTGAGAAACAACATAGCCCAAAATTTTCATGATGACCTTTTGTTCTTTTGTTAACTAAGCTTTGTTAGGGAGAATAAGCTAATCTTTTGAAGATTTGTCTAGTTGTGTATACATTGCTTATGCTAGTTTAATGGATGCTTTGAAGAGGGTTAGCAAGGAAAGAACATACAGTGGATGCCATTCCCTTCCTGAACAGGAGAGCTTCTATCAGAAAGGCTGTTGGATCAATGAGAGGGGAATGGAGGGGGATGCAATTTTCATTATTCTTCCAAATACTACCTGCAGACAGAATGAAATACCTTTGAAGGGATCCTTCTTGTGCTGCTTATAGGAGGAACATACTGAGAAGAGTTGAATGCTGGAGAGATTGACTTAGAGGTACTGGGAAAGTAGTCTGACCATCCAGGACTGTGTTTTATCCTAAAAAGGGAGTGTCGGATTTCTTAAACTTAACTACAGATGCTGCCCTTAGTGTGCTTTCTTTGTTTTGCTACCATGAGGCATTTAGCTTAGGTAGAAAACCAGTCCTCATGCTAGGTGAGTTCTGGGAGGTTAGAATGGCTGTGTCACTTATCCTGGGGAATATCCAGGAAGATTGTATAAAGAGTAGTAGCATCATCCTGTGGTGCTTAAGTTTGTGTAACTACTCTTTCCTTGTCATCTTGAGGAGTGAAGCAGTGTCCTAAATGCACTGTAATTGTGGATGTTGACTCTAACGTTGCACAATTGCAGTGAAGTGCTGAAATAGTATTGCCTTCTGATGCTGTTTCCAGGAAGATGGTGAGTCCACAGCCTGAAACTGGTACTGACTTCTGAACTGGGATGGAGTGATGACCACTTAGGCTATTGTAGGTTGTGTGGTGGCAGCAGCATATTAAGTCGACTAATGGAGTGCTACATTTTGTGTTTATAGGCTGTGTTTAGAACTATGATAGTATTAAACTGGTAAGCCCTTTCTAAAAGCTGACATAGTCTTTAGAAGGTTTCTCTATTAAAAAAACAAAAACCAAAAAAAACCCAAATAAAAACCACAACAAACCAAACTCTGTAGATGCTTTTCTCGGCAGATTTTAAACAGCAGGAAGTCACTGATTGATCTAGATGCTGATATTATGCTGCTTATATGTGCAATCATTAAATAGGTTTTAATTGTAAATGGCAACTTCCTCTTTAAATGGAAAGTAATTTTAATGAAAGTTTTTTAGCTTGTTGCATACTACAAAAAAGTTAAAGGATTTATATGTGAGATTTATAATCCCGGTGAAACACAAAACAATCTCTTCCAAGACCTCAAGTGTTCCATAGCTTTCCATTTTCTAGTTTTTGTTTTCATGAACTGCTTAGTCTTAGAGACAGAATGGGACAGTAAGTCTCTTCACCATCATCTTCTGGCTAGATGCTACTGACGATGCTCAGACTTCCTGTTTTCTTAGGAAAAGGTCATCCTAGTAATTCAAACCCTTCACTGAACTGTGGTCTCATAGAAACTTTATAATAGAAATTAAAGACCATCTATGCCTTTCCTGTTCATAATCTCAGACTACTTGCTTTTGCTTGTGAACAAATAGTGCTGGCTAGTAGCACTTTTCTGTTGGCAACTCCATGTTGCATTCAGCCATGTTTTTGGCTTTTGTAGTGCATTTTTAAAAAGGACTAAAACCCAGTAGCAATCCTTTTGGACTATCTTTTGGCTTGCTTACCTTTGCATGCTCAGTAAGGGCAAGCATATTTAGCACTGAAAGGATCTTGCATGAAGGACAACATGGAAACGTCTTAGTTCGTTGAGCAATTCCGCTGTAATTTCAAGAAACGATGACTTCTATTTATGCAGAGCTCTAAAGTTCAACTCTGCTGCTGAAAGCGAATCTCACTTGCTGGAGGTGAAATGCATCTTTTGTTCTTAACCTTAGTGATTCCTTGGCAGTGAGTGCTAGTGAAATAAATCTTCAGGGCCTGATTTAAGAAGTCTCTTGGCATTCTTATTTCTTCTTGTATTAGAAGAACCTTTCGCAAGCATCTTGGCCAAATGTGGTTAAGCCTGCTGTGTTGGTTGTTACTGTGTCTCTTTGAGCGTTGCTCCCACAATGTCATAGAGGTGATGTAAGGACATGCTTTTAGGCCATATAGCACGTAATGCAGCACACAATGGCAATTCTGTTGCTCAAAGCTGGTAGAAAAAAAACTAGGAAAACTTGCTGGTGAAATGTCTAATGGAAATTGAACAATCTGTGACACTAACTATGGCTGTTTCAACTAACTACTGGTTTGAAATGTTGTGTGGAGTATCAGGTAGGGGTGTGTACATGTTGGTGACTGTTGTTTACAAACAGCTGCTCTGCTTAGTTGCATTTTTTTGGCTTTAGCTACTGCTTCAAATTGATACAGTGTACTTTTTAAGACACCCGATAAGTTTCATTTCAAACTATAGTTCTTGCTGCATACTCTAGTCTTTCTTCCCTAGATCAGTTTTTTCAAATGGCAATGTGATGATGTCTTCCATGTTTCTCACATAAAAATAGAATTGTGAATTGGCTGCTTGAAATATGACAAAACCAGTCAAGATTTCAGTTTTTCTATGGTTTTCTAGATATTTGTTCTTGGTCTTAAAATCTACTTGCTCAACTTCTTCATTGGGCTTCCTGTGTAACGTTGTTAAACCTTGGTGTAATTCTCATGGGGTGGTAGTCCTGTGGCTCTTGTGTTTACCAAGTAAACAGCTGTGGCCATTTTAGATGTTACTTTTCAGATGGAGGTTACTGACGCTGTAGTGGAGTTAGCAGGAAGGTAGGCATACCATCTGCTCTGCTGTCATATTGTGAACTTACCTTCTTGGGTGATTAAAGCAGTGTGCCATACTGAACTCAGACAACTGAGGTACCATTTAGTTCTGCAAAGTCTGTTACCTGCTCATTAGCAGCTCTCTCCTCTGGAGATTGCCAGGCAGCTGAGGGGATATAATATTACAAACTGCAGCAGCAAAATTAACTATAGCACATTTGTCAGAGCTGAGAATTGCCTTGCAGGGATCATACATAAATGAAATTAGTCACTGAAGGAAGGAGTACATTATTTATTGGCTTTTTGGAGGTGATATTTTATTACAAGACTGCCAATATCAATCCCCCATCTTATATTTTTAATTTGCCCACCTACATTATGACAAAGTTCAGCATCTCTTATGGGCATTAAAATTCTAGTCTAATTACGCACCCTGGCAAGTTAAAACTTGTTAGATGGGTTATCTTAATGTTATGTTAGTCACATCTAAGTACTTAGATGCTACAGTAATAGAATGACACCAAGTGATTAGTGCAAAACGAATAGATTCTCATTCACAGTGATTCTGAAGCCTCAGCTGAGCACTAATTCATTCTGATGGTTTCTGGAGCTCTGATTACAAAGTGCTCTGGCTATTGTGCCTCCCAAGGCTACCAGTGTCAAACAGGTATCTTGACTGGCTGTTGAAGTGACCACCACACGGTGATGTACAAGATAAATAGGTAACCAACAATACTGATGAACATGTTGTCATTAGGTAATTTTCTGCAAATTTAATCTTTAGCATCTTGAGTTAAATTTACCCTGAATCATTTTTGAAGTGTTATAAGTGTAAAATATAGTTGGTTTTCTGGGGGAATTACCTGTTTCTGATTGCTGTGATGGAATGAATGGTGTTTAAATCTGTCTGGTCTAATTCCTCACACAAGTAAAGGTAGAGACCCATTGCTAGCGGTAATTGTGAACTTGTTAACGTAAGCAAGGGAAACATAATCACTGTGTGTACTACTGCCCTCCTTGCAGTCTGTCTAAAGTTAGTTGCTACTTGAGCTCTGCTTGCTTGCTATTACCTGAGCAGCTGTACCAGTACTTAGCGTCCTAGTTTGAGTGAAACCTAGCCTAGATGATTGAGCTTGGGTATGAGCTTCATATGCACAAAAAACTGATTATTATAGAGTACCTGTGATAAGTAGTTTATTTGTAAATACTATTTAACAGCCCAGTGTTTGCAACTTCATGAAAATATAAATGATTTATAAAAACATTACTTTGATTTTTTTTTTACTGTTTTATGGAGCTCACTTTCTATTATCTTTCAAAGTTGTGTTTATGTTGTGTTAGGATACAAAAGTGTTAGTGGTCACCAGATAAGAATTCATTGTCCAGCAGTGCAGAAATCTATGTAATTGATCCTGTGGGAGTTTGGACACATATAAAAGCAGTTGTCATAGCTGTTTGCTAGCTTTTAAGCACTCTCTTCTTCCAAACAACTCTTAACACTCTTCTTTTTAACTTCACTTCAGTTACACAAACTGTTTGTCTTTCAGAGCCAACACATAATCAACCAAACCGAACCAAGAGGAAAGAGAATATTTGAGAAGGCTCCCAGCATCTCATGAATGAACTAACGGAACTCGATAATGCTGGTTCTCCAGAGCCAGGTCTACGGCTCAGAAAAGGACACATGTCTGATACTGCAACAACACAGGCAGCCTTTGAAGAGGACAGCTCTAAGGAGAGGCTTCTTTTAGTGGAGCCACCTCTGTCTTCTGACCAGGAAAATGTAAGTTATATGATTATCTGTTAAGTTTGCTAGGAAAAATAAGTTTTGACCCAAGTGCTTCAGTGCTTGAAATAAATTCCAAAAATGTGAACTGTGATCCTACAGCCTCTTTATGCCTGCTAAATAATTGTAATAAAACCAGGAAGGTGCCAGAAATATTCAGTTGAATGTATGTGAACTTGGGTGACAAGACGGGGTATAAGTGTAAGTTTACCAGCTTGTATTTTTTTTTTTATTCCCTCCTCAAAGAAATGGGACTTGTACTGGTTTGTTCTCTGCTGAGACACTGCTCATATCAAAAGATTTTTTTGTTCTGTAACTTCTAACTAATTAATAATGAAAGGAGAAGATACATTGACTCTGGTTGAATGTAATCTGAACCTTGGCTAACTGCTATCATTTTAGAGATTAGGACAGAAAAATCTGTTTGCAAGCATTCTTGTTGGAAGAATGGCCATACTGGATTAGACCAAACATCCACAGTGCACAATATCCTGTCTCGGACAGTATCCAGTAATAGACTGATAAGGAAGAGTACAAGGATGGGGAAGCATGTTGTGTTACTTCCCTAGGACACTCTCCCAGCCTTTAGTAATTGGTGCCTCACAGGTTTCCTGAGCCAGTGGCGGTGCATGAGCCTTTGTAAATTTTAGCAGCCATGACATCCTGCGGAAAGGCATTCCACAGCTTAATTAGGTGTTATATGAAGGTATTGTCCAAGCATTGGATAGAATTTCCTTCTGGTTAAAGAGTTTCAGAACTGTAATTAATGCTTCTCCCAGCATATATGCAGATGGATGTCAGCACAGTTAAGTGGAAGAGGCATTCATCTTAGGCTCACTGTTAAATTTATCATGGCTTAATGAGTTTAATCTATCCGCTCAGTTACAGCAATTGTGTGTTTTAGCCAGGAGCAAAAACATGCTGATGCTACTTAATGTAGCCTTCTATGAAGAAGAGTTGGGCTGTTGCTGTAATTGCTTTTGCCACAGATTCTGAGTGTGTGCATGGACCACTATCATGGTTCAGCTGACAAGAGAACCTGTTATTAGGCTGTTTTAACTTGATGAGTTTGAGCCCTTACAGAATTTAGTTTCAGGTGTCCTTGTAATGAGAAGTAGAACAGGTATTCATGGCTAATAAATCAAGCCAATGCACTGTAAGTTGTCCACTGCTATAACTTCTGCAGGACATTCTCAGTATCATGATAACAGGAAATACCCGGAGTCTTTTTCTTTGCCTTTTGTGGAAGGTTGTAAAGCATGTGTATAAGGTGCAAAGTCTTAGCCAATAGTTGAATTTGCTAAGGTTAGAAAGAAGAAAAGTTGAGTTGTACTAGCAGGTACTTTGAACGTGCATATGTTTATCTGACAGTGTGTTTGGGATCATCTTTTCTGAAGGCTGTTTTCATTCTTGTCTCTGATTTTCCTGGTTGAATAATGTGAGTTACCTGTTGCCTGCAGATGGAATAACCCAAAGTAAAAGCCCATAACTGATTATGTTCTGTAATTCTTTCTTTACATTTGCTTAGCTAAATAGAAATTATTTGGATGAATCAAAGTGTTTAATTTTATCATTTTGGAAATAAAAGGTACTCTCATTCTGTCTTCTGCTTTTTCAGGCATTCTTAGCATGTGGCATGTGTTAGTCCCTTTTTTTTGGTTTACTTTCATCCTTACAACAAAAGTATGTGTTTCTCTTGTTTTGACTCATTACAAGTATTTAGCTTTCTTATATTTGATGTCTTCTCTCTTTCCCAGTCTCCCAAAATGCTGCCCCAGAATTTTTTTTTTTGCTATTTGAGCCTTGCTGTTCTGTCTTGAAATTCATCACTTTCTCTGCCTTATATGGCCTCCTGCTTTTCTGACATTTTTTCAGCCTAAACTTTTATTCCTCTCCTCTGTGATTTCTTGGTTTTTAATACTGTGCTATCTTTAAGTTTTTTTCTTAGAAGGTTGAATAATTGATGCTTCAGATGGATCATCCCAAAACACTCTGTTGTTGAAAGTACCAATGTTAGCTTGCCAAATGGCCTTTGTTAGTGGCATACTGCAGTGTTCTAAATAATCTGGAAAAAACATTATGCTATATAACTTCCTTTGTCTTGTATAAGCCTCACCACAGCTGTTACTCAAATGCCAGCTAGGATTCACTTTTTTGCCCTACTGTACCTTCTGGCTATGTGCAACTGCCTCAGTAGAGATGACTTCTTATTTCAAAAGCATGATTTTGCTCTGGTTTTGAAGAGGGTCTTGATTAGATAATAGTAATATGAAGTTATTGTTCTTCTGTAGATGGCAATAGTACTCGGGCGCACAAGCTAAACATAGCCTTATAAAAGAACTCGAGTGGTGCCCGCTCCATTAGTATTCTAGTGGGTAAATGCAACCACATTGAAGCCGATGGTAGCAATCAAGGAATTCCTATGTTGAAGAAGGAAAGTGGATGAGAGCAATATGGTGTCTTGATGGTAGAACAACCATGGTCACTGGATATGCTTTTAAATGCTTCTTATGACGAGCTAATTGTATTGACTTTCTTGAATATCATAATATAGATGTATTCCAATAGATAAAATACTTCCCCAAAATGTACTGGGCCTAAGACTTAAGGTAGTACTGTAAAAATGTGTGTAACTTTATCCTGTGATAATATTGCATTGTTTACTTTTCCTGTTGCCTCCTATTGCCCTATTTATATCACTGCAGCTCCTTTATTTATATTAAACCTGCCTCAAACTCTCCTATACAAGATTCCTTTCCCTCTGCCTACTTGTATATCCAGTTTCTGCTTCACTTGTAGGAGGAAGCAGTCCAAGCTCTTAAAAGGTAGTAGTTGCTTTTGATGAATTATTTTAATAGTCTTTTCTAAGGAGATGTGTAGAAGCATACCGTTGTATTGTTCAGAATTATTTTCCATCTCCCCTGCAGCTTGCATTGTATACTATCTATTTCTAATTTTGATGAGCCAAAATACTGGTCCTCTTTACAAATAAAGCATCTTCATGGAAAAAAATGGAGGTGGTATTAAGAAATCAAATTGAGTCCTAAAAGGTGGTGGTTGTTTTTTTTTTTTTTCCTGAGGCCTTTATCTCTGGCAGCAGTAACCTACCTGGGTGGTTGCATAGCTGTGAACTAAAAATTACATTAAAGATCCTACTTTCTGTAAATTGTGGCATTCACTGAATACGTGTAGCAAAGATTTACTGGCTGTTTTGAGCATGCTTATCTGAAGTAATAATGAGCTGCATCCTTCTGCCAGTGCTGTTAATCTGCCAGTTTTATAATGATGCTTATGAGAAGATACGGATCATATAAAACCAATATCCTTTTACACCTGAACCTTTTAGTCTGTATTTTATCCCATAACTCTGTGATCTCCTCTAGAGTGCATAATGTTGATAAATTAACTCCTCCTCCAAGTATCTATTCCAAAGAATAGATACACATCTTGCTGTCTTGTTTAAATGTGCAATTAGTGTAGTGGCAGATGAGTGGTGTACCTTCTGTGACTTTGAGAAATAGTGACCATTTATCTGAATGTTAAGGAATTGGTGGTGAGAAGAGGATCAGGCAAGCTGCATAATTCTTCTCATTCTTTCAGCAGTTTAAACTTTTTTTTTCTTTCTCTAGTTTACATGTGCTGTGTATGTGTTGATAAGGCACTTTTTTCAGCAGGTGCTTCCCTCCTGTAGCATGCTGGATTGCCTAGTTTTTGGGACAGCATCCTTTCTCCTGTCCTAGAGTTTCTGTGTCTTAAGTGCCTTTGTAATTACAGCAGTGATAGTTCCTAAAGAAATCTCTTTTACAGTGGCTTTGTTAAGCTGACACAATAAAATGCGTGTGACTTCTTATAACTTGGTGAATGGGCTCTTTATGCAGCCCTAAAAACCTGCACTTGACTCTTTCCTTTTATACTTTAACCTGGCAGTGACAGGAGGTAAACAAAAGAACCATTTTCTTTACCTTTATTCCAATGATCTGGCTTTTGTGTTCCTGAATGGTGATTCCTTTCATGCAGTTGAAGGATGTTGTACAGTTGTCCTGTGTAGCACTAAAATATGCCCATCAAGTGGAGACCTGTTGCTTTAAAGTGTGTGTGAACCTACATTAAGGGTTTGGGAGGAGATATGCATGGCTTTCCAGTCATCTGCATGGGCAGAAGAAATTTGGGCAAATACTCATCTGCATTGTTTCTCCGGGAGCATGGGTTTTGATTTCAAGTGGAACTTATTTGACCTCTGACAAATTTCATGATACCTGCATATAGCTGCAAGAGTCTTTCTAGAGCATAAATACCAAAGTGACTTGAAGGAGGGAGGCAGAAGGATGTAACAGATTTTCAAGTACAAAAGAAAAGCTTCAGAATAATTGAAGGTGAGCAGGTGACTCGAGGCTTTTAACTTGAATCATAGAACTTACTCAAAGCCTTTTCTGTTATAGAGGTGTGTACATATTATCTACAAAATTAGACTACAAAAATAGTTTTGGTATTGACAGGTGCATGTAAATTCATGGAATTGTCAACTTGTCTTTATGGTGCATGCTATCTGACTGAAAAAGATTTAAGTGAAATCTTGAAGACCAAATGTAGACATTTGAGTCTTAAGAATAGTCTTTCTGGAGCTTATACTTGTAAACTCTGATTGCCTTCAGTTTTTTCATTTATAGATTTACTTGCAAGTTTCTTGCTCGGTTTGAAACCATTTAGCTTTATTTTCAATCTTGCATCTTACTATTAGTACTTTGGAGTTATGATTAAAAACTTGTCATCTCCTCCCGTATTTGCCTTCTACCTGCATTGCATTGTGGATTTTGTAGGTAGAGGTTGTCTTCTGAGTGTGTACGGGAGAGGCCTGACATAACAGGATTTGAAGTCCCACCAAAACATGCTTGGTTTTGTTTTAAAGCAGATTATCTTAAATATTTGTTGTTCTATAGACTACTTTATCACCTCTTCCTTTCCTCCATTTTTGCAACTGTTTCAAAAGAGTGTTACTT